GACGCTAAACAAATCATTTTATTAATGGGTAACTCACCCTTGTATCGTCATCAGTTTCGCACAAAACAGAGATCAAACTCTAAAACTGGTCCTCACCGAATAGGGGAAGCCAGACTGGTCCTCCTCTCGAGACGTAGGATTGATAACTTCTATCCTTAGTAACGTCTCGAGCTATCCCAAACGCCGGCTTGTTCGCCTCATAGGAGATCGATTCTAAAATCCATACATTCAATGTCCTCAAGCAGTTCTTGATTTTTCCGAGATTAACAAATGAAACAAAGGACATAACTCTGGTTGCAAAATAGCTTGTACCAGTCTCGAAGAGTCCCTTCTACTGTTCATTTGAAGCTCAGTAGCTATGCTTCGAGCGCTGATTGTACAAAGGAGAAAGAACGTTGCCTGTGATGTATAACCTCACCCATATAATCGCGAGGGATCCAAGCCGCACCAGCATTAATCCAGGAGCTACTAAAGTTGCATTTAATCTGATCACCATGAGGCTTGGTTCATCTTTTTCTAGTATCATCGCTAACATTTTGAAATAGGAGCGGGTCAGCCACTACCTCTCTTTGAAAATCCACCATATACATGCCTCCTCTTTGGCCTTGTCTACAACCGATCGCAACTCATATCTGATGTTGTCAAAAACAAAGGCATTTCTTGTTTTCCAAATGTGCCATATATAGGAACCATGAAATGGCTTTGCTTTGTTGGTTTGGCAACACTGTTTTCTTCTAAAATATGTATCAAATGGTGAAGATTTAAGAAATCACTCTTTCACGGTTGCTTTTGTATACGCAAGAAATAGAGTTGTAGAAAGGAGGTCACTTTGGGAAACAAAGAACTTGACAACACATTGCAATGAACCAGGCAGACATTTAAAATTCATTCCTGGCCCATTCTTTATGGTCTTTTGTTTTGGTGTAAAGCTTTCTGGAGAGTGATGAACAACGACATGGAAACAACAGGTTGATGCTCGAAACTACAATTACAAGGTATATTACCTTAGCTTTGTTGCTAGCCATTAGTACTCTCCAGAGCGAACTGCAGTCATGAAGGAACTTATCTTAGACTGATCCTTCTGGATGCCGTCTGTGCCACAAATACCGCTGCTAACATCAATTCCATCAGGTTGAAGAGTAGAAAGTGCTTCTGAAACGTTTGTCGGATTGATTCCCCCAGCTAAGAGCCACCCATTTCTGCTTCTAATGGAGGGTAACTTGAACTGAGCCCAGTTAAATCCTTTTCCACTGCAGGGAATTAACAGTGTACAAGAGAAAGATGGTATTAAGTCGCTTGAGCCATAGTCGATATTAATAAAAGAGGCAGGTACAACTCAAAGCACAAGCGTTCAACGTACCTCCCACCCGTTGCACTATCCACAAGAATCCAATCAGCGAGATGACAATCCTCTTCAGGAACTTCATTCATGAGCTTTCCATCTTCACTTGCATTAAGGACATATATGACTCTCCTTTCGCGTACTAATTCCGAGAAAGCAGCACGCGAGCCATTACCATGAAGCTGAAAGAAACCATAACTATCAACACTTTAGAAAGTAAAGAAAATCACCATAAGATTGTAGACAGACAACCTGCACAAACTCAAGGTCTGAGGCATCAGCAGCTCTCAGTATTGTGTCAGCATCATCCTCAACAAAAACACCAACAGGTTTGGCCCCACCTTCCCTCGCCACTTTGGAGATATCCTTTGCAATGGAAAGGGAAATGGAACGTTTTGAATTCGGCCAAATAATCATCCCAATGAAATCAGCACCAGCTTCAACTGCCATTGCAGCATCTCTAGCTGATGTGATACCGCACATCTTAACCAAAGGTCTATCCTTTTGAGCTACATTCTCTGTGTTGGAAATACTACTGCAGCTAAATTTCTTCTTCTGAGCATAACCGACCCTCAAAAAAGACACCTTTCGATTGCTTAAACCTGAGCACATCAAGAACGTAACAAGATTCCATTGGAAAGTTTCAGTTAATTCACCAGAAACAAAAAAACACACACGCACAATGTAATATAAAAATCAACAAAACCACTAGTGTCTTACTGGATTTGTAGGTTCTGGAGAAACTCAGAGCTCTTGGATGCAGATGTGAGGATAAACCTGAGGAAAAGAATAAAGCTTTTCTCATCACTAATAGAACAAACTGAAGCTCTTTGAGTAAATACATCGAACAAGTTAGCTGCATTATTCAACCAAGCTCATCATCAAAGTAAAGTACATGTGGACATCATATCTCCGTTGTGGGAAATCAGAGAAGATGTCGAAATTTTTTTCCCGGCGATGAAAGGAGAAGAAGATGTCAGTGAAGACGGCGGTCGTACGGCGGAAGAAGAGCAGAGAATGATGGAGAAGAATCGAATCTACCAAACTTTTTGATTAGGTGAAACGAAGAGAGATTGTTCGAATTCACCTGATCGAATGGATATAAAAGCTCGGATTCAATCCGATCGAAATACCCAGAAGAAATCGGATTCTTAGTTCGAACAAACTGATCGGATTCCGGAAGAAATCGATCCAAAAAGAGAAGCTGAATCGAATCGAGGAAAGAGGAAAAGGCGAGAGATTGAAGCTAGAATCAACGAAGGTTCCTGAAGAAGAAATTCAACGTGTAGAAAGAAGAATCACAA